CAAAAGATAGACAGACAGAAAAAAAGAGAAGAGAAGAAGAGAGGACTTAGATACAAGAGACAAAGGGAGATAGAGCCAGGCCCCCCAGCCAATCAGCCGGGAGCCAGCCTGCCGCCACCGCTGCCACAACCCAGCCTCCCAAAATTTTTTTTCTTGATTTAGGGCATGGGTTTAAGACATTCTGAAAGGGTTTTGCACAAATAATTGCATATGGGGTTATTATCGAGGTTTTTTGATACTTCCTCAACTACTTTTGGCCACATCCACCTCAAAGCTACTAAACTCGGGGTCAAAATCACTTTTCCTCTTAAAATGGGAGTGTTAATACTGTATGACATCAGTGAATCCCAGGTTTTTTGCTCTAGCTGGCACTCATTTGAACTGGTGCTCCCAAAAGGGTTTACTAAATGGTCCCAGATTTTTTTAGTACCGTGCACACGGGAGTGTTAGGACCCATTCTATCTGACAAGGCCATCTAAGGCCAATCGTGCCAAATTTGAGGCAGAAAAATAAAACATATATAAGTGTTTGGGTCACTAGCGGAAAAAAATGTATATATACGTTTGGACCTTTTAAACAGGTTAACAAAAGTCTGATCATGCACAAGTATTTTTAACCTTCATTTTGGGAAATGGCACTTTGTTTATTTATATTCATTGTCATTTCTCATCCTCATAGCTGCAGTTGCTTTCTTTTTAATTAGACAAAAACCCAAATTTGTTTCGAAATGTGCTTAGGAGTGTATTGATTTTTGGATCATATGTCAGTATTTTTTTATGATTAAAGATTTTTCCATTGCTTGAGTAATTTTATTCTAACTGCAGCTATTTTTCTTCGCAGGTTTGAGAAAAGACACAGGAATATGTCGGTTCACCTGTCTCCTTGCTTCAGGTATGTTAAGATGCAGTGAAATTTTAAGAATTTGTGTTTTCATATTATTCGTATACCATTATGTAAAAGATAATCTGTTAGGTAAGACAGATATGCAACAGTTAGGTATCTTGGACAACTTCTACTAGTGAGAATGGCTGGATTTGAGAGGGACGTGACCTCCCAACGACTTCATTCTTACCTCTACTAGTGTCCTACATCTTGCCTCCTGGCGGTATATAAGGCTCCATCCTGTCACTTCAACTCCATATTGTTTCAGACTATGGAACAATACTCTTCTGACTGAGGGACTGACCACCTCAAAACTTCAAGGGTGATGGAGTGATTACATTGTCTTCACGTCTCTTCTGCTATCAACTTCTGTACTCGACTGAAGAAGCCTAATGTGTAGGCGAAACGTTTCAAAATAAAGATACCTAGCTGTTGCATATGTATCTTACCTAACAACCTGTCGGTATTTTATACCATTTTAATATTCAAAAAATAATCTGCACCTTACATCAGATTTTATTTTGATTTACATGCAAATTTTTTCTTGCAGCTATCCTCCTATATCCACAAAATTCTGCTGCACATACTAACACTGCATTCTTAAATCAGCCCCATACCTCTTGACATCATCCTTATGCTGTCACTAACCCATTTTTCACCCAGCAATCCTAAGCTTATATCTTGCCCTATTTTTTTTTTTTTAACAAGTCGGCCTTCTCCCACCGAGCAGGGTGACCCAAAAAGAAAGAAAATCCCCAAAAAAAAAAATACTACTTTCATCATCATTCAACACTTTAACCTCCCTAACATATAATCACTGTTGTTGCAGAGGTGCTCAGAATACAACAGTTTAGAAGCATATACATATAAAGATACACAACATATCCCTCCAAACTGCCAATATCTCAAACCCCTCCTTTAAAGTGTAGGCATTATACTTCCCATTTCTGAGACTCAAGTCCAGGTATGTAAAAATAACCGGTTTCCTTGAATCCCTTCACTAAATGTTGCCCTGCTCACACTCCAACAGCTCGTCAGGTCCCAAATACTATTCATCTTCATTCACTCCTATCTAACGTGCTCGCGCACACTTGCTGCAAGTCCAAGCCCCTCACCCACAAAACCCCCTTTACCCCCTCCCTCCAACCTTTTCGAGAACGACCCCTACCCCCCTCCCTTCCCCTACAGATTTATATGGTCTCCATGTCATACTACCTTGATCCATTATCTTTAAATGACCAAACAACCTCAACACCACACATTGCCCTTAGACAGGACATCTCCACTGCCTCCAACCATCTCCTCACTGCAGCATTCACAACCCAAGCTTCACACCCATATAAGAGTGTTGGTACCACTATACTTTCATACATTCTCTTCTTTGCCTCCATAGATAACATTTTTTGTCTCCACATATATCTCAATGCACCACTCACCTTTTTTCCTTCATCATTTCTGTGGTTAACCTCATCATTCATAAATCCATCCACTGACATGTCAACTCCCAAATATCTGAAAACATTCACTTCTTCCATACTCCTCTCAAATTTGATATCCAATTTTTCTTTTATCTAAATCATTTATTACCCTACTCACCTTACTCTTTTCTATGTTTACTTTCAGTTTTCTACCTTTACACACATTCCCAAACTTGTCCACTAACCTTTGCAGTTTTTCTTTAGAATCTCCCACAGTATTATCAGCAAAAAGTAACTGTCAATTCCCAGTTGTATTTGATTCCCCTTAATTTAATCCCACTCTCTCTCCCGAACACCCTAGCATTTACTTTTACAACCCCATCTATAAATACATTAAACAACCATGGTGACTTCACACATCCCTGTCTAAGATCTACTTTTACCGGGAAGTAGTCTCCCAATCTTCTACACACCCTAACGTGAGCCTCACTATCTTCATAAGAACTCTTTACCGCATTTAGTAACTTACTACTTATTCCATATACCTCCATCATCTGCCACATTCCTCCCCTATCCACTCTATCATATGCCTTTTCTAAATCCATAAATGCAATGAAAACTTCTCTACCTTTATCTAAATACTTTTCACATATATGCTTCAATGTAAACACTTGATCCACACATCCCCTACCCACTCTAAAACCTCCTTGCTCATCCGCAATCCTACATTCTGTTTTACCTCTAATTCTTTCAATAATAACTCTGCCGTACACTTTTCCTGGTATACTCGGTAAACTAATTCCTCTTTAATTTTTACAATCTCTCTTGTACCCCTTCCCTTTATATAAAGGGACTATACATGCTCTCTGCCAATCCCTAGGTACCTTCCCCTCTTTCATATGTTTATTAAACAAAAATACCAACCACTCCAACACTATCTGCTCCTGCTTTTAACATTTCTGTCATGATCTCGTCGGTTTCAGCTGCCCCACCCCTTTCATTCTACGTTATGCCTCACGCACCTCCCCCACACTCACATCCTGCTCTTCTTCACTCCTAAAAGATGATATACTTCCCTGGCCAATGCATGAAATTACCACCTCTCTTTCTTCGTCAACATTTAAAAGTTCCTCAAAATATTCCCGCCATCTACCCAATACAGTGGACCCCCGCATAACGATCACCTCCCAAAGCGACCAATTATGTAAGTGTATTTATGTAAGTGCGTTTGTACGTGTATGTTTGGGGGTCTGAAATGGACTAATCTACTTCACAATATTCCTTATGGGAACAAATTCGGTCAGTACTGGCACCTGAACATACTTCTGGAATGAAAAAATATCGTTAACCGGGGGTCCACTGTACCTCCATCTCCCCATCTACTAATTCCCCTACTCTGTTTTTAACTGACAAATCCATTCATTTCCTAGGCTTTCTTAACTTGTTTAACTCACTCCAAAATTTTTTCTTCTCATCAAAATTTCTTGACAGTGCCTCTACCACTCTATCTATCATCTGCTTTGCTTTTGCACACTCTCATCACTCTCTTCACCTTTCTTTTACTCTCTATATACTCTGCTCTTCTTATAACACTTCTGCTTTGTAAAAACCTCTTATAGGCTACCTTTTTCTCTTATATCACACCCTTTATTTCATCATTCCACCAATCACTCCTCTTTCCATCCTGCACTCGCCCTCCTATAACCACAAACTTCTGCCCCACATTCTAATACTGCATTTTTCAAACTATTCTAACCCTCTTCAACCCCCCCCCCCCCTACGCTCATACTTGCACCAGCCCACCTTTCTGGCAATAGTTGCCTATATCTCACCAGAACTTCCTCCTCCCTTAGTTTATACACTTTCACATCTGTTTTACTTTCTGTTGCCCTTTTCCATTTGTCACATCTACTTCTTTCTCTAACTGTAGTTACAACTAAATAATGATCCGATATATCAGTTGCCCCTCTACAAACATGTAGGTCCTGGAGCCTATCCATCAACCTTTTTTCCACCAATACATAATCTAAAAACTATATTCATTACATGCTATATCATACCTTGTATGTTTATTTATCCTCTTTTTCATAAAATATGTATTACTTATTATCAAACCTCTTTCTACACATAGCTCAATTAACCCTTTCAGGGTCCGTCCCGTAGATCTACGGCTTTACATTCAGGGTCCAAACCGTAGATCTACGTCATGAGCTCAGGTCACTCTGATAAACTGTGAGTGGTACATTTGGGCCTAGATATGAGAGAATACATCTATGTGGTATGTGTGCACCACATAAAACAGATCCTACAGCACACTGTGTATAATGAGAGAAAAAAACTGAAATCATGATTTTTCGATTAAAACAGCGACTTTGCAGTGTTTTTTCGTATGTTTTTTATAGTTGTATTTGCGATTTCTTGGTCTCATTTGATAGAATGGAAGACATATTACAGAAATAGAGATGATTTTGATTAGTTTTAGCACTGGAAATGTCTTGAAACTGAGCTCAAAGTAGCAGAAATGTTAAATTTTTGCCGATATTCAAGAGTAAACAGACGACCTCACATGTCTAATACACGCCAGCTGTGGGTCTAATATGCATTCACAAAATATGGTGATTATAATTTATACAATTATTACAGTATTTTTAATTACAGTAAATCTTCTATTTTTTTGGTGTGAATAAAAATTCATTATGTGAATAAAAAATCAAAATGGAATTTATTTGTAAAGCCTCAAAACATAACTAATAAACAGAGGAAATGTTAGTTTAGTTCCAGGAATACCTACATTGTTTATTCTGGACCCTGTTTTGAAATTGGAATATTTTGAACTTTGTGTTAAATTGGCCAAATTAACAATTTCCAATCACTTTAATTTGTAGTTGAAACAGTTGACTTGGCGATTTCTTGTGCTCAATCGATAGAATAGAAGTAATACTAGTGAAATAGCTAAGAATTTGGTTGACTGGAATAATGTAATTGGCCTAAAATGGGAGTCAAGGTCGGCAAAATCGCCGATTCGTAAATATCGCTGACACATCAAAATTCGCGAGAGCATAATTTCGTCAATTTTCCATCAAATTTCGTACTTTTTGTTTTATTACCCCTCTTCAAGGGGGGCTCCTTGGCGTGGTGAAGAGGCTCTTGGTCTGAGGAATTAGACCTATCGGTCTTCTTCCTCAGACCGAACCTAATTACCCCCCAATCTCCCCTCCCCTATCCCATCCTCCCCATCCTCCCCTTTTTCCTTTCCTCCTCCTCCTCCCCACTCCTCCCATTTGCCCTTCCTCTTTTTGTCCTTTGGGATTTCTCCCACAGGCGCGCTAGTTCCTAGGTAGGAGAAAGGACACAGGGGTCCATCCCATTCCGTTGAGGTTTCTTGGCGGTTGCGTAGTTTGCCGTGGAATCTGGATTGCCTAGGGATGTCCCGATCCCTCTCCGGTATCCCGGAGTAGCTTTGGGTGTCTTTTGGGCGACGGGTGTAGCTCTGGAAGCCACCTTTCGGATTCCGGGGTGGTGGCTGAAGGAGGTATGCTTTGTGGCGGAAAACCGTCCGCCCTCTCTTTTGTCCACCGAGGTAGCTCGGCAGATGTGAGGTTGCTATCCCAGATTGCTGGTTTACTGGCATGAAGGGTAGGGTATGGCACGGGTTCCATGCTGCATCTGCGCTACTAGCGGGGTCGAGTCCTCTTGGGCGCGGAGGGAGATTTCTGGCCCTTTCATCCCTCCTAGGAACTATCCCTCCCCGGTCCCCCCTTTTTTTTTTCTTTTTTTTTATTTTTATTTTCTTTTCTTCTTTCTTTTTTTTTCTTAAAAACAAAAAGAAAGAAGTAACCTAACCATGGCAGCCCTAGTCCATGAACCTGGTACCCCCGGGCCCCTTCTTGATACCGCACCCCGTTCTGACCCCGCCTCGTCTTTGGACCACTCTTCAGACATTCCTCATGCCTCTGTACCTATTGCCGGTGCTGTTTCCTCACCCGCTTCAGGTACTGAGGCCTCGACTGACTCCTTCGATTTATCAGACCTTCGCTCTCCTCTGACTATGCTTCCGGCCTCTCCCTCTACGGTGCGGCAATTTTCAAATCGCCGACCCGTTCCACGTCAGACCAACTCTGGTCCCACGCCTAAACGCCAACGACAATTACCTGCTGATGATACTTATCCACCTTCACCTTCTCGTTCTTCTCAGAAACGATCGACACGTCCTTCACTACCTTTCCACGCTCAGTTTCAGACTGAACAGTGGACTAAATTCTTCACTTTACGACCACTTCCTCTACTGCCTATCTTTGACCATAGTATTGGCAAGGCACTCCTCGCCATGTTGGTAAAAATATTTCTTTTCAGCTCTTAAGAGCGGTAGCGTCATCCCAAAA